CAACAAATATTTACAGCTACTGTTGATTGAAAACTTGACCTACGCTGAGCCCTGCTCTGAGCACTTTTCATGGGCTCACATTTCACATTCCATTCACCCTATGTGAGGACACAGAGGCCTAGGACAACTCGAGAACTTGCCCAGCAAGAACCCCACCCTCATCCCCAGGAGTTGCAGAGCCTGGGTTCAAATGGGCACTTCCTCTGGTGGGACAGGAGAGAGGGAGGCTGGTGTGGGACCAGAAGGAGTTCTCCAGCCAGCTTTCCCCGGAGTACAGGGCCTACTGGAAAGAGGAGTCACCAGGAGCAACCACCTCTCATCCCAGCCGTGCCTCATGGAAGCTGCCTGATGGACTCAACTACCACCCAGGCCGGGGAGCACAGAATAACATCCGATCATGGCACCAGGCCGTGCTTCCACCACACTCCAGTAAAAATAAACCTCTCCCTCCAAATATAGAGTGGTTAGAAGTGCCATGTTTTACAGGAGAAGAGGCAGTTATTTGGCATTAAAAATAGACGAGTTCTGGCTTTCCCCACCGATCTGGGCAAGAGCGCTGCTGTTTCCAAATGGAAACAGCGTCGGGGTGAGCCCCCCTCAGACTGACTCAGCGATTCGAGGAGCCGGACTAGGACTGACATCCCCTTGCTGGGCCTCAGTTTACTCCTCCTGCAACAAAGAGGTCAAACAAGAGCTCAAGCCCCTAGTGATGATGGGAGAGGGGAAGGGAGGGGCTCAGAGCGCCCAAAGTCCCCACTTCACCGCGGCCAGCACAGGCAAGGCAAGATCGAGTCAGCAGTGTATTCTCCCAAGGATTTCTAGAACTGTCAGAGCTAGACATGACCCTGAGTCAGACACAAGATGCAAGAAAATGGAAGAAGCCCCTGTCTTCCCTCCCCCCAACTACCCAACCTTCTGAGATGTGTCCTTGATCGCAGGAAAGCTAGTGGGGGCCCCTGGTGGCATCGAGGCCACTGTTGCCGGGGCTGAGTGTGGGCTACTGGCAGGTCCTCTGCTCGCTGGAGCCGGGCACTCCCGCACCCCCACTCATGGCAGAGCTATAGGTGCAGAAAAGTAACACAACATGCCTGAGAAATCCTACATGGGGGGGAGGGGCTTACTGTTGTGCCATTAACTGGTGTCACGGGGATGCTTCTCAACTCCATGCGGGGAAGGAAGCACAAAGAAAATGAGGAACCTTGATGAGGGGTCGTGTTGGCAGCAGAGAACCAAGTTAGGAGTGTCAGGACCCCCTTGCCTTTTATTTATTTATTTTTTTTGCTTTCTGGATTACACTCGGCGATGCACAGGGGTTACTCGTGCACGCAGGAATTACTCCAGGTGGTGCTCGGGGGACCATATGGGATGCTGGGAATCAAACCCTTGTCGGCTGTGCTATTGCTCCCCTTGTATTTTATTTTTTTATTTGGGGGCTATTTAGGGGTCACGCTCGGGAGTGTTCAGGACTTACTCCTGTGGTGCTCGGGGGACCACAGGCAGTGCCAGGGATCTAACCCAGGTTGACTGTGTGAGCAAGTACCTTACTCGCTGTACTATCTTTATGGTCCCTCCCCTTGCATCTTTATCCCACCAGAAATAAGAAAGGCCAGCTTTGCTTTAAATGGTTTTTATTAAAAATTGTACCAATTGATAGGGGGCAGGGGAGATACACACGTACTCTCTCACACAGATGCATGTGAAGAACATAAAGCCAAATACTCTATACAGGTTAAAGACGATGGGTCTCCATCCTCTCCCTCCTTCCCGCCTCCTCCTGGAGGCAGAGGGCTCAGAACCCAGGGCAACGGAACTGGGATGAACACAATGCCACATTCTCACTGGGTCTCCCCCTGAAGCCCCTGTGGAGCCCAGACTGGGACATCCCACTCGGGGAGAGGGGCAGTATGGGCCCGGGAGCCTGCTAGGTTCCAGGCACCATCAGCCCTGGAGGCCAGGGCCTCTCTGGAAGAATGCAGAGTCTCCAGCCTTCTGCCCAGGCCTGCAGGCCCCAGGAGGCCTCACAGGCCCCAGTTAACCCCTTCCTGGCCAGAACAGCCTCCCACCGAATGTCTGTTGTCTACAGCAGAGCCGTAACACTGCCTTGATTCCAAGAAGGCCCCTCAGAAAAGGCAGAACTCTCCCTGTTTTGGCTGCTCCCCTTTCTCAGCACCGCAGCCCTCCCCCCACCTCCCCACCGCCCCCCCCCCCCCACCTCCCCAATCTCCTTGTGTGCTCTTTTCTGGCCTGACCAGGTCCTGTGGCTCTGGGCAGGGCGGTCCTAAATGACCCCCCTCCCCCAAGCCCATGCTGGAGCTTGCCTGGACAGACAGACAAGACTGCTGCCTCTGAGCACCCAGCTCTGCATGGCCCTGCCCCCCAGGCAGCGAGAGGTCACTGTTTCAAGGGGTGGGGGGCAACTGTCCAGCAGCCAAGACAGTGGAGCAGGCAAAGGCAGCTGGGCCTCAGCCTCCCACTTACAACTTGCTGGGAGGCTTCCAGAACCTTCTGAGGCTCTGCATGAGGGCTATTTTGACCCTGACGACCAGGTTTCCCCCCTTCCTCTTTCAGGAGAATAAGGGGGACCCTGTCCTGCTCCTACCACCCCCTCAGCAAGCTGCAAAGGCTGCACAAGACACCCCTCCTCCAATCCTCGTCTGCTTCTCCACCCCTCAACCCAGATAAGGGATCAGCGGGGAAAGACGCTGTCCTGGGGCCAGGCTTGCGCCCTATATTTGGCAGAGGAGGAAGGGGCCAGTCTTGACCACTGGGCCAGTTCCACCCAGCCAGCCAGGATGAACCTCGCTTCCTCCTGGGGCTCTTGAGCCAGTTACCTCCAGGGCTTTGGGGTGGCTGAAGGAGGAGGAGGGAGGGAGGGACACTTTTACATCTGGTCTTAGTTGGCTTACAAGAGTCAAGATGGTCCCTGGCTCCACGGGATATGGAGACGGAGCAGCCAGGCCACTGTCCCCAGTCCCCAGCTGGGCAGCCCCTGGGCTCAGCTCTCAGGACAGGCCACAGGAGATCCGCCCACACCTGGAAAGGGCTCCGAAGTCGATGGCTTTGCCTTAGCACCAAGGCGTTTGCTCTCTCCCTCGGCTGATGGAAAGTCTGCCAAGCATCAGAAGAGCTGGTTTTCTTGTGTATGGCCGGTGAGGCGCACACCAGCACCCCGTATTGGTCCAGGGCAGGGGACAATAGTGCGGGACTGAAGCACGCACAAAGGCACAGAGGTTTTTGCAGGGAGGCGGGGTTTCCCAACGGTCAGTGCGTCCCAGAGCCAGCGTTCCTGCCTGTCCTCTGGCTCTTCCTCGTAAGCAGGAATCCGGCTTCTTAGCAGACAAACCATGGTAGACACCCTGAGAATTTAATTCTGGCCAAGAAGAGGGATCCCCCCAGAACATCCGAGCAGAACAAGACAAAGCCTAACACAAAGATTGAGGGCCTTCACCTCAAGGGGCCTCTGGGAGCCCCAACAGCACCTTCGTGCAAATTAAGAAAGGCACCTCGTCCTCTGGGTAGACAAGGCCCTACCCGAAGGCCACTGCTCGGCAGAGCATCCCTGGATCTCAGTCTCCATCTTCTTCCTCAGCAGATTCCCCATGCAGGGAGCAACCTGCCTGGCTGTACCCCTCCAGCCACGCTTCCTCTCCCACCCGCTGAAGACACCTCTGCGCAGAGCAGGACTCCGCCCGTTTCTGTGGGGACTCATGGGATGGCCTCTGCCCGACGCAGCCACCTTTGCTTTGGGCTTGGTTCCAGCATTAGCACCAATGTTATTTTTTCTGACGTATGAAAAAAATCATAATTTAATTTCTACTAGGTGTCTGGTCCACAGATTCCCCGTGTCTGCTCTCAGGGCTGCTGGACCAGCTGCTTTAAATTCTCTGAGTGCCACAGCAGGGAGAGAAGGAAAGAGGTGCCCGGGCAGCTGCAGCCTGGCGAGTTCCAAAGCCGGCCCTCCTGGCCTGGCTGGGAGCTGCAGGAAGACAGGAGCTGTGGGCCCAGCCTGGACGGTTCCACACAAATCACTGTTTCTCTCACACGCACGTCTCAGCTAGCCGCGCTGAGCAGTGCCGGCTTCTTCCTGTATCCGACTACGTGTGAAAAAAGGAATGGGATAAGGGGGAGGAGGTATGTTGTTTCCAAGGAAACCAAGAAGTCTGGTTTCCTCTAGGGCTGACTCTTGGAAGTGGGACAGCACCCCATTTCCCAGCCTCCCAGCAACCCCACCCCAGGGTGCCCTAGAGTGCTGGTCCTGGGAGGGGGGGAAGTCTGTTGGCTGGGTCTTCTGAGAGAAGAGCTGGCGAAGGCACAAGCTGCTGGCAACAGCACGCTGACTGGTGATTTGGCTCATCCACGGTGAACAACCAGCCTGGCCCAGGTAGCCAGAGGTGACACCTCCATCCTGAGGGCGGGGGGGGCCTCTGGGTGTCACTGTGTCAGGTTGAGGCCTACGGAGCAGTTTCGTTCATTTTGTGGCACATTTGAGGGGTCCTTGGAGAAAAACCCAACCCTCCCTGAGGTCTGTTGGAGATGACAGGGGCTGGACAACAATCCCTGAGCCCTTGGGGTGGGCACCGGTGGGGCCAACAGAGAGCCCAGACTGGAGTTAGCCACCTCCGCCGAGGCTGGGGGCGGGGTTGCAGCCGGGTGACAGCACGTCTTGCACCTCAGCTCTGTCCATGGTGGAAGGCTGAGAGGTCTGGTGGAACTAGGAGTCTAACCCATGCTCCGATTTCTTCACCGAGTTCCTGTGGAAAACTCCAGACCACTCTCCAGAGCACACCAGTCCCTGGGCAGGTCTGACAATGGCCACCTGGACACGCGCCTCCACAGGGCCCTCGGGAGTTCCCACCGTCCCGGAAGGTTCAGCCTGAACTTCAACAGTGTTTGACAAAGGCCCCCATTCCCGGTCGCGGCCCCGAACAGGGAAAGAGGCCCCGCTTGGGTATGTCTTATGTACACACACAGAGGGGAAAAAAAAATCTTAAAAACACGAGAACGATATAAAAACAACTTCACAAGACAGTCTCAGTCCTCGCTGAAGTCCTTCCCGGTGTGCCCCCTGCGGAGAGGGCAGGCATCCCTGCCTCACCTGGGACCTGCCCCGTTCCGGTTCTCATCCCCGTTCAATGCGAGGTTGTGCAGGAAGAGGAGAAGCTGCCACCAGACGCGATTTCGGTTCTGCTGGTGCTGAAAAAAAAAAACAAAAAACAACCAACTCTGTGACTCCTAACCGTAGTCTTGGATCACACGCCTTATCATTTCCAATAAAAGTTCCTATCTAGTCTCCAGCCTATACTTTAATCCTATCAGCGCAGCCAAGTGGATCTTTTTTGGGAGGTAGGGGGTGGTCAGAAGAAGGGGGGGGATCAGAAGCGGGGAGGGACAGAGATAGTAGAGTTCTCCAAAAACAATTGCAGTTTTAACATTAAAAAGAAAAAAACAGGCTCTTTATGTGCCTTTATGCACAAGAGGATTAAACTTTTTCCCCTACTTGCAGGATTTTCCAGAGTTTAGCCAAGTGCTGCTTTTAATCAGATTGGCTCCTGAGCCCCTCAAACCTCAGCTGCATGAACAACAAACTTGCTTCAGAAAGAAAGAGAAGTGCCCCCCCTCTTCCCCCCACTCCAAAGTAACACAGAGAACAAGGGGGAAGGGGGGGGCGCCTCCATCTGCAAGTGATTTGACACTGTGAAGGTCAAAGGGTTAATCTTCAATTTAAACCACACTGCTGAGGCAGCAAAAATCTGATTTCATCCAGTGCAAACACGCACACACACAGACACACAGACACACAGACACACACACACACACACACACTTCACTTGTGCGCCCGCCCTCTCTCCCTCCCCAGCATCTCCGGCTCAGGGCTGCCCTTTTTATAGCTGGTCTTGACAGTAAGCCATAAATAATCCCTCTTGGAGTGCGTTCCTACTGACTGGAGCCAATTAAACGTTAAGCAAGAACATACTTGAAAACAAAACAAAAACAAAGAATGCACACTACTCTCTGGAGGTTATCCCAGGTCCTACTGTCAGGCAGGGAAGCTGGGGCAAAGGCCAGGGGTCAGTGGTTCCCAGGATTGTGGCGGGTGCCCCACCCACCCAGGTACCCAGGGAGCAAGAGTGAGTGGGGCCCCAGGGTGCTGGGGAGACACTCTTTGTTCTCTGTCTGCCAGGGTGGGAGGGCTGGGCTGAGGCCCTAGCCACAGGGCTTCTCAGTGGACAGGGAAATAAACACCAGTGCGCGAAGAGCAGCCAGCACGGCTGGGTCGAGATGACTGCGGTGGCCGCGGGGCGAGCGCGCTTAGGGTAAGGGCTGCGGGAACCTTCTCTTAGGCTGTCTGTGCACAGCCCCAGCCCCGGCCAGCCGGGCAGCTCTGACTTAGAAGTGATCAAAGTGGATCGTGAGCTGCTCCAATCCCCTGTGACCCTCTCTGGGCCCCCTGGCTTTCTCTGCATGGCTACCGGGAAACTGAGGCAAGAGAGGTGGGCTGTCCACTGAAGCTGATGGCAGAGGCTGCCAACCCCGGGGAATGGGGTTCCCCCTCTGCAATCTCCCTTCAGGAGGGGAGGCTGGAAAAAAAAACACCCAGAAAGCTGGAGGGAAATCAGGGTGTGCCACAGGGCTGCGCAGGACCTGGCGGGCGGTGGCCAGGGAGACAACGAGGGCTTTCCATGTATTTTGTAAACAAAGATGAGTAAAATGAGGAAACACACCCGGCTTAACAAAATCTGGTTAGAGGAAAGCAGGCGTGAAAACGGACTCAGCTGCAAACCTGAAGATGCCGGCCTTAGGGTAGCAGCTGGGCAGAGCGCCCCTTCCCCCAGCCAGGCCTCCCCAGCTGCCGCCCAGGACAGGTGCAAAGGTCACGTCGCAGCCCAGGAGTGAAACCAGGAAAGATGGGTCTCTGGAGAGGCCAGGCTGCTGGAATGCTGAGTCTCCTCCAGGGCCTGTTGGGAAAGGTCAAGGCCAACCACCGTGCTCAGGAGCCACCAAAACAAGCTCTGAAGGTCGGCCAGGCTCTGCTGTGAGTGCTCCGGGCCCAGAGTTCAGCAGCCCCAAGCAGTAGCACCTGGAGCTTCTTAAAAACGCAGGCTGGATCATAATGAACATTTTTTAAGCAGGACCCCCAGGCAACGGGCAGTGGCTTTCAACGTGTGTGTGTGTGTGTGTGTGTGTGTGTGTGTGTGTGTGTGTGTGTGTGTGTAGGGGACGGGGTTGAGGGGCACACCCAAGGATGCTCAGGGGTTACTCCTGACTCTGCACTCAAGAATTACTCCTGGAGGGGCTGGAGTGATAGTAGGGCATTTGCCTTGCACACAGCCGACCCAGGTTCAATTCCCAGCATCACATATGATTCCCTGAGCACCGCCAGGAGTGATTCCTGAGTGCATCGCCAGGTGTGACCCCAAAAGAAAAAAAAATTACTCCTGGAGATGCACAGGGGACCATACGGATGTCAGAGATCCCTTGTGCAAGGTAGGTGCCCTACCCACTGTGCTAATGCTCCAGCGCCACTTCAACCTTTTTATGCCTATGAATCGTCACCAGTCCCTGGACTGGGGCTTGAAAATCACCGTGTTAAGCAGTAACAGCTTTTTCCTGGATGGGCATTACATGTCCGCACCCTGTGGGCTGCCTAGAGTAGGCAATGCCGGGCTCTTTTGTACAAAGAAGTACACATTCGACGACTCCTTTGATCCCACTCAACAAGCCCAGGTGGTAGGTATTCACTCGGTTGGACAGATGAGATCGTTTAAGTTTGACTCACCTGACCACCTAGCTAGGCAGTAACAGAGCGGACAGAAGCCATGTCATCTGGCCCTTGAGCCATGTTCTTAGCCATCACCCTGATACACCAGCGACCTTCTACCAAACTTTCCCCTGATCATCTCACAACAGCTCTGGAGTCAAGGGAGGGACATTCCACTTCGGGGACGCAGCACCCAGCCCAGTCAGGTTCTACCTAAATCTCCTTCATGGTGCTACCAGCTACCTGGATGACTTTTAGGAGCTGCAATTTCTGGGGAAGAGGAAGCCTCACGTCCATCACTGGTGGGTGCTAGTGTACCCAGAAACAGCTGTGGGCCAGAGAAGACTGAGGCCTTCCTGGGAGACTGGTAGTCCTGGATGCAGGAGGCAGGGCATTCAGCTCCACCTTTGGGAAAGACCCAGGCTGCGTGCCCCACCCTGGCTCAGCCCCAGAAGTCGGCAACCTGAGGGAAGGCAGGTGGGTGGCTCCGGGGTCCCAGAACCCAGGCGCTCGCTAGGGACGGGCTTTCCTACCAACCACAGGTGCACAGTTTTCCCTCAGAGGTAAAATACTGGTACTGCATCACACTGGTGGTTCCCAAACCAGTTCTACAGATGCCACTAAGGTGCTAATGTCAATGCAGAGCCCCCTGGTCTCATGCAGACCAACCCAAGTTAGAATCTCCAAGGAAGAGGCCCAAAAAGTTGTGTTCTGAACCAGCTCCTGCACCACACACATTTTATTTGATTCTTTTTGGGTAACACAGGGATTACTCCTGGCTCTGCACTCAGGAATTACTCCTGGCGGTGCTCGGGGGACCCTATGGGATGCTGGGAATCGAACCCAGGTCGGCCGCGTGCAAGGCAAATGCCCTACCCTCTGGTATCGCTCCAGCCCCAACATGCATTTATTTTATCTTATTTATTTAGGTTTTTTGGGTCACACCCAGCGATGCTTAGGGGCTACTCCTGGCTCTGCACAGAGGAATTACTCCTGGTGGTGTGCCGGGGGGAACCATATGGGACGCTGGGGTTCAAACCTGGGTCAGCTACATGCAAGGCAAATGCTCTCCCCACTATTGCTGTCCTATTGCTTCAGCCCCGCTAGACACTTTTAAAATCAGAAGCAGCACTGGCTGTCTTTTGTTTGGGGTTGGCTTTTAGGTTTTGGGCCACATTTAGCAATGCTCAGGGCTTATTCCTGGCTCAGTGCTCAAGGATAACTCCTGGCAGGGCTTGGAGGACCCTATGGGAGCCAGGGACTGAACTTGGTTGGCCGTGTGCAAGGCAAGTGCCTTACCCCCTGTACTCTCTCTCTCAGGCCTTGGCCAGCTACTCTAATAATAAAAACCATTGCAAGCTAATTGCGGAAAAATGGGAAAAGAGAAGACTTAAGAAAGAATAAAATCACTCACGATCCCTGTAGCCTGGAAGCAAATGCTCTACAATTCAGAGTGTTCTTTCTTCAAACTCTTTCTCCGTCTCTTCTCACCGGATAATGACTTGGCCCAGCCCGAGGTAAATCTTGCCCAGGTGGTCTACTGCAGCCAGGCCACAGACAGGCTTTTATTTGGAAACTCTGGAGGTGCTTTCCAACCCCAAAGCTTGGAGATTTGGACTTAGTCATCCACAATTGTCTTTAGGATTATAACTCAGAAGGCTGTTGGTCTGTGGTGGTGATTGTGGTGGTGGGGGGAAGCTGTTTGGGCCCTAAGAACAGACTGTCCCCCAAGAGCTAAGCTGGCTGTCACCACAGCTGTGAGACTGGCAAGATCGGGTACAGGAACCGGCCAACAGTCCCAGGAGTCCTTTCTCTGGGGACAAGCAGATGCCACATATATTCCACGTATATTCTCTTGCCACAGGGTAGGTGCTCACTGGCATTAATTTCACAAAAGCCCCTTTTCTGAAATTAAACCTAACTGCAACATACCCCCCCAAAAAAGTTCCCTACTTCTTATATGAAATAATAGTGACTTTTTAAAAAATTAAACAAGAGTTTCATTAAAAAGAAAAAGAACTGAAGGCTTGAAAGGAGGCAAGAGAGAGGAAGCAAGGAGGAAGGAAATCAGTGTTCCCCCAACAGCATAAGTACCCGCAGACAACGGAAGGGCTGAGAATGTGGGTCCTTTGGGAGAAGGTATGCAGGGGAAGGGGAGAGGGAAGGGGGAACCAGGAAAGAGTCCGCTTGGCCTCTGTCTCCTGGGCAGCTGGCCCAGGGCCCAGCACATAATCTGAGATCAACAAGAGCAGTCCCCTGGAGTAAGGCCCAGAGCTCCCAGAATCAAGGGCAGTGCCCTTTAAAGGTAGGAACCGGGCTTAGGGGGTGCTCAGAATGTATAGTCAGGGTGCCCTCAGGGGAAGAAGGGAAACTAAGTTTAAGCCAGAGACCTGGAATTCAGAGTGAGGGTCAGTCTCAGATCCGGAGGGCAAGA